GCTTTCGTTTCATGATATTTTAGGTGATAGGTCTTAATATATGGGTTCATGCCATTCATGAAATTCATATTAAAGAGAAAAAATTAGAAAAGTGTTTGGTATGTAGTAGGTGAGCAATAAATGTAGCCATGGCTGTGTTGTTACTAGCACTCTCCTAAAGAGCAGGCTGAAACTCCCAGTAACTTTCCATCACATTTGGATGGTATGCCTGGAATGGACTAACTTAATCTGAGCTATGTGAATTTCAAAATGCCCTTTAGGGACCCTGGAGACACATCTGAGGTGACAAACAGTGATCATATGAAATAGCTGAACTCAGATTCAAGAGGATCTCATATGGACATCTGAAGCCTTAGGATGGAAAGAGAAAACAAACGGTTGACTAAAAAAAAACAAACCCAAATTGGGTGGATGCTGAGAACCGCAGATCTTGGTTTATAGTGCGACTCATAGGTCAACTCTCCTGCACCTTAACTTCCTTAAAATAATAGATTGCTCCACACAATGCTGGTTAGCCACCCAGCCCTCTGAATGGTGCTGGAATGCGTAGGGTGAGCATGGATCTTCTCAGCTCAACTACTGTGACCAGTGAAACATTCCTAGAGATGGGAGAAGCCTAGGCGCCAGGGCCTGGCAACTTTTGAGCTTTGGGTAACCGGATCTGAATCCTGGTGGCAACCCCGTCCTAAGCTCCCTACCCTCAAGTTATGCCCTGAGCACAGGGCCAGAGGGGCATGATCCTGCAGGTGGCAAGGTCAGTTCAGGGCCTCCCAGCCAGAGGAACCTGGTGGGATCCGCTTCTTCGGTTGTGCTCCTCGTCCTGCTTCGTGCAGTAACAATGTAGCAGTTGCGGTCAAGAGCGCAGCTGCGTGGGGCGCTCTCCTGGAGACCCGTGCAGACACGTGAGGCACAATGGAACCTCCGCTGCTCCACTGAGCCTGCAAGCTCCCGGGAAAGGATGGGGTAGTGGGCAGGCAGAGATCCCACCCTTCCCTGGGCTGTGTAGGCATCCTACTGTGTCCTTGGACCTGGTATTCCAGGGGAAGAGGCTGTGTTTGACTTTACCTGCTGGTTGATAACTCTGCAGAGACACCCCTTTGAAGAAGCGTCATAAAGGAAGTTCTCTGCCACCAAGAATCTTCTACATGCTGTGGTGGGTACAACACTGAGAAGAATAATTAGCTTCTTTGGTCCTCAATTACTCTGCCGAGTGGAGATAATACCTGCTCAGGTACCTCACAGTCTCATGCCACAGAACTTCGAAGACCAAAGCTATTATATAATCTACCACTATAGTTATTATTATTTTATTTTACTCTGATGAAGTAAAAACAATGAGTCAAATATTTAGAATCCTCCAGGATGGTGATTTTCATGAGGTCAGACTTTGCCTGACTTCTTTACCTTTGTGCTAGTTCCCCTCACCCCATTCATCCCACATGCTCCCTAACCCCTGGCAATCAGCTGTATTACCAGTGTATACCACTGTGTCTGGCACATAGTAAGAATGAATGAATGAATGAATGAATGAATGAATGAACCACAGAGTGCACACCCCTCTTCTTTTATCTTGCCTGGGGTGCTGATCGCTGTAAGACGTTTGTTCACTTTCTCTTTCTTCATTTGGACAGAATCTATTGGTGTTTTCTAAATACATCTTATGCAAAAAAGTCTGCTTTTTGCTTTGGGATCGCTTTTGCAGGAAGACGGTGCTGGGTGCTCTGTGGGTCATGGTGGCGGCGATGGCCCTGGGGTTTTCTTGAGTGAAATAATTCTGTAACTCAAGACAACCAGATCTAAACTGAGAAAACTTCACACTCAACACTCCCCATATAGAAAATATCAACTGGAGTCATCCATTTTCATTTTTATTTACAGAATGGGGAGAAACAAACATTGGGACGAACTTTTCTAAAATGTGATTCTAGAAAGCCACTTGAAAGAAAACAATGATGTTCTTTCTTCATTCATCATTAAACTTTTTTATTCTGGACTGAGGTCATGATGGCTCTGTTCTTTACCATGTAAGAAAAGGACCTTTTGGTATCATGAACCTGAGATAAGTGGAGTGTTAGTATACTGATCATCAATGCATTCTAAAAAAATGCCATTATTCTAAGTCACTGAATTTCTCTACTAAATGACTTTCCAAATTCTTCCCAATTAAATATCTATTCTGACGTGGTAAGAGTGATTCTGAGATACAGCATGCTGGGACTCAGGGAAAGGACACAATCGTGTTAAAAGAAACATTACTCAGCATATTCTCTTTCAGCTTATTCTTAAATGAGGATATATTCATTCTTACTTGGACTCCGAGAGTCTCTAAACCTGTTCTTGACTCATGTCATCCCTGGATAGATAAGTCATCTCTAAAAAGCTGATAAGAAAGGACTGTCTATGTCAGACCCCAGGATTTTTGGTGATCATTCTGGAAGGGTTGTTAGTGGAAATATTCTCGCCACTGAGGTTACCCCCCGCCCCCCGGAATCAACACCTGCTCTTGATGTTTTTCTGTTTCCATCTAATTTAGAAACTAACAACCATGCTTTATAAACCCTAAAAACCTAGACTAAACATACATGAATGTTTAATTTTCTAGTCAAACTAACCAAATTTAAACTGTTAAGAATTTAATGCTATGCTTAATTGTTACTATGTGAAAACAGAATTTAGGCTAAATGGAAAGTAGTTTACTACTCCATTGTAAACATACATTGTATTTTATCCACAAAGCATAATTTAACATTCAAAATTTTCTTGATGACTCTCTTCTTCCCTGTTTTCCCAATTCTATTCTCTATTGGTTTTCTCCTTCCCATGAGATCAACCCTCCAGAACAGGGTCAAGATTTAGGAACCCAGGGACTTGGGTTCAATGAGCTCACAGACTTATGCACTTCATTGCTGCTGTGTGTAGGTTTGTTTGTTTTGCTTTTGGCCAGAGACATAATATCTGTGTTTGACTGTTTGAGTGTCTTTACCTAGAACTTCAGCCCCCCAGTTCAATGTTTCCTAATGTCACAAACCTGGTCCTTTACCCAAGTTTTAATGTTGTGTTCTTATACCATGTCGGTCTTCATTATGTCCCTTGATTTTTCTCAGCTGTGGTTCTATGGTGTCTTCATGGGCAATGCCTTTTGAAGCTAGAGATTAGTCTACCACCTGTAAATTTACAACTCCCAAAGCTGAATCCCAGGCATCTCTACTGAGCTCTAGGTGCGATTTCCAACTTCTCACTAGATGTTGTGACTCCAAAACACCTCAGATGAAATAAATCCCAACCTCAATCTATCATCCAATCCAAAGTTGCTCTCTTTTCCTTTCTAGTTAAGAGGGCTAAAAACTTGCAATGAGTAGTAAATAAGTTCTAGAGTCCTACCGCACAGTATAGCAAATATAGACGGCAGTATTGTATTATAATCATCAAACTTGCTAATAAGAATTTTAATTATTTCAACTACAAAACAAAATGATAATTGTATGACATGATAGAGGTGCCGAGTATTGCTATAATGGCAATCATTTACAACATATACATGTATCAAATCAACATGGTGCACACCTTAAATTTGCAAAATGTTCTATGTCAAATATATTTCAATTAAAAAAATAAAAAGAAAAAGAAAACCATCACCCACTTGATTGTCCTGGCCAGGAAGTTGTGCACTACGTTCAAATGGAAATGATCAGAGAATCCTTTTAATATGATCTCCTAAACCTATTTCAATTCTGACTTCCTTTTCTCCACCCCACACAATTCTACTGTAGGCAGGCATCATTTACAGCATGAGAGCCTGGTCCACAGCACAGCAGCTACTCAGATGCATCTCCTCTCACCCACTCTCTCAAACTCTGTTTCAGCCTCATCAAGCTCTTTGCTCTCTTTAGATTTTTCTTCTCGTTATGAAGATTTAAAAAATTAAATTACTTCCATTTTGAATTATCCTGATTAATTTGGTAAATGTAGATAGGAAAATGAAATGATCAAATGTGAACCTTTGTTTCCTTGGGTAAGGACTTAGCTATTTCCCTCATTTCCTTCATGTTCTGAGGCTACGTCTTCACTTACACAGCCAATAATATTTTCTTTTCTCAAAATGTGTGAACCGAATTTCATTCCAGAGAATATGGAGCTTTGGGTTTCTGATCTATTGGTCACTGATGGCTTTTAAATTAAGTAACCTTAAGCTTTATTCTTAGTATTGATAGCTTTTTCATTCATATGCTAAATGCCCCCTTGAGAGGTTTTCCTTTATTTCAGGTTATTTTAATATACATCACTCAAATCCCAAAGGTCTTAGATAGGGTTTAGTAAGTGCTGAATAGCTGGGCTGTTCTATTCCTATGACCAGTCTACAGCTCCAACCTGAGGTTCTCCTGCAAAACCCTCATTTCCTCACACAATCTGAATTCTTTATTTTCATTCCTTCTCTCCTATCAAATCAAAGGTTGCCTCACTTTCGGTCAGTTGTGAATGAGTTTGAATGCCAAGGCTGCTGTTGCCCTATACCCAGGAGATGCTTGGAATGGAGAAATAAATTATTTGGGTATCATTGGGTTCACCCAGAACCATCAGTGTTTGATGATAGGACCTGTCATTACCTCTTCCCTCCTATCATGCTTTATTTTCCTTCTGATCTAAGGCTCCCAAATCCCTAGGATCTAAACTGTACCTGATAATCAGAACTCACAGACCCAGTGCATTGATCTCCATAGGATTATCTTTCAGTGAAATCGACCTGAGCCAGAAAATGATACATGTGCTATATTTTCTTATGAGGATATGGACACATACCTTTTTCATTCTAAAATGTTATCTAGAGAGAATTAACTTCATTTGGATATAGGCATCTATAGTCCAGACTATTTCAGCTCATATTCAGTGTCTAGAAGTAACCGTGAGTACAAACAATTCCTACTGAAAACTCAGTTCCCTTAGAGTGGGTTCACAACTGAAGCTAATACTTACCAGTTCGCCAGAGAAATGATATACTCACATTATGTAAGGTAGTTGCTATGCCGAAATGCATCGATTCCCCATTTGGCCACTGTATTCGCCAGGTACAACTCAAAGATGGAGAATATGCACACATACACAGAAAGAATAATTCCACTTTCCTTGATACAAACAGAAAATCTATCATTTTGTAGATCTTTACATTTCTAAAATTTTGAGCATCATAAAGATAATATAAAATTATAAAAAGTTTAGAAAATAGAATACCTATGAATTCGCATCAGCTTAATACAATAGTGATGATTTTTACCTATTTACATGATAATTGTAATAAAAGATATTTATGCCCTGCCGGTTTGGCTCAGCGGTTAGAACGTCAGCCCACGAACCAGAGAGTCCCAGGTTTGGTTCCCGCTAATGGCACGTACCTTTTTTTTTTTTTTTTTTTTTGAAATTTTTATTTATTTATTTTTTTGTTACAGATATTTTACCTTTTTACCCCATTGGCACCCCCCCCCCACCCTGTCCCCGGCTTAGTTGTCCATGTCCATTGGTCATGCATACATGCATATAAGTTCTGTGGTTTATCTCTTCCCACCCCCCCACCCCCCATCCCCTCTTCTGAGGGATGTCAGTCTGTGCCCCACTTCCATGTGTCTGGGTCTACTGTATTCCTCAGACTGTTATGTTCATTATATTCCGTATATAAGTGAGATCATGTGGTATTTGTCCTTCTCTGCTTGCCTTCTTTCACTTAGGATAATACTTTCCAGGTCCCTCCATGTCGTCTCAAAGGATAAGAGATCTTTCTTTCTTACCGCTGCATAGTATTCCATTGATGGCACGTACCTTGGTTGCAGTTTGTCCCCGGCCCTGTTTGGGGTCGTGTGGGTGGCAGCCACTTGATGTGTCTCTTTCAGTTGATGTTTCTCTCTCTCTCTTCCTCCCTCTCTGTCTGAAGATAAATGCAAAAAATGTCCTCGGGTGAGGATAAAAAACAAAAACAAACAAACAAAAAAGATATTTATTGACACTATGTGGATAGGCATTTGTGCTAAATTGTTTTAATATTAAAAAATTTTAAATTACAGTTGACAGAATATTATATTAGTTTCAGGTGTACAACACAGTGATCAGACATTTATATAACTTATGAAGTGATTGCCTCATTAAGTCTAGTACCCAACTGACACCACACAGAATTATTACGATATTACTGACTATATTTCCTGTGCTGTACTTTATATCCCATGATTGTTTTTATGACTGGCAATTTGTATATCTTAATTTCTTCCTTTTTTTACCCAGTCCTCCAACCACCCCCCTTCCCATTTGGTAACCACCAAAATGTTCTTTGTATTTATGAGTTTGTTTCTGTTTTGTTTGTTCATTTATTTTGTGTTTTTTTTTAGATTCCATATGGAAGTGAAATCACATGACATTTGTCTTTCTCTGTCTGACTTATTTCACTTAGCATAATACTCTCACTCTCTAGGTGCATCCATGTTATCATAAAAGGCAAGATTTCATTCTTTTGTATGGTTAAGTAATATTCTATTACATATATATATATATATATATATATATATATATATACATATATATATATATATATATATATATATATATATATATATATACACACCACATCTTCTTTATCCATTTGTTCATGGATGGGCACTTGGTTGCTTCCATGTCTTGGCTATTATAAACAATGCTGCAAAGGGCATAGGGTGCATATGTCTTTTCAAATTAGTGTTTTGTGTTTCTTTGGATAAACACCCAGAAGTGGAATTGCTGGGTTATATGGTGGTTCTATTTTTATTTTTTTGAGTGGCCGCACCAATTTACAATCCCACCTAAAGTGCACAGGGTTTTTCTTTTCTCCAAATCCTTGCCAACACTTGTTTGTTGATTTATTGCTGATAGTCATTCTGACAGATGTGAAGTGATAGCTCATTTTGGCTTTAATTTGCATTTCCCTGATAATTAGTGATATTCAGCATCTTTTGATAGGTCTATTGACCATCTGTATGTCCTTTTTGAAGAAATATATATTTAGGTAGTCTGCCCATTTTTTAATTAGATTTTTTTTTGGTGTTAAGGTGTATGTGTTCTTTATATGTTTGGATATTAACTCCTAATCAGATGTATCACTGATGAATATCTTTTCCCTTTCAGTAGGTTGTCTTTTTGTTTTATTGGTGATTTCCTAGGCTGTGCAAAAACTATTTAGTATGATGTAGTCCCATTTGTTCTTTCCCCCACCTTGCCCAAGTAGATATATCCAACAAAATATTGCTAAAAGTGATGTCAAAAAGTTTACTGCCTATGTTTTCTTCTAGAATTTTTATGGTTTCTAGTCATATATTTAAATCTTTAATCCATTTTGAGTTTATTCTTGTATTTGGTATAAGAAAGTGGTCCAGTTTCATTTTTTTGCACTTTGTCTCTCCAGTTTTTACAACACCATTTATTGAAGAGACTGTCTTTATCCATTGAATGTTCTTGCCTTCTTTTTCATAGATTAATTGACCATATAGGCATGGGTTTATTTCTGGGTTCTCTATTCCGTTGATTTAATTTTCTTTTCTTTTTTTCTTTCTTTCTTCCTTCCTTCCTTCCTTCCTTCCTTCCTTCCTTCCTTCCTTCCTTCCTTCCTTCCTTCCTTCCTTCCTTCCCTGTCTCTCTCCCTCTCCCTCTCCCTCTCCCTCTCCCTCTCCCTCTCCCTCTCCCTCTCCCTCTCCATCCTCACCCAAGGACATTTTTACATTTATGTTCAGATAGAGTGGGAGGGAGAGATGGAGGAAGAGAGAGAGAGAGAGAAACATCGATGTGAGAAAGACACATTGAGTGGTTGCCACCCACACGACCCCAACCAGGCCAGGAACAAACTGCAACCGAGGTACGTGCCCTTAGTGGGAACCAAACCTGGGACTCTCTTGTCTGTGGGCCGACACTCTAACCACTAAGCCAAACTGACCAGGGCTTTTTCTTTTTTAAAAATATGCCAATATCATGCTGTTTTGATTATGATAGACTGTAGTATAGTTTAATATCAGGTAGCATGGGACCTCCACTTTTGTTCTTTCTCAAGATTGTTTTGGCTGTTTGGGATCTTTTGTGGTTCTCTATAAATTTTAGAATGATTTGTTCTATGAAATATGCCAGTGGTATTTTGATAGGGATTGCATTGAATCTTCAGATTACTTTGAGTAGTATGGACATTTTAACTCTGTTAACTCTTCCTACCCACAGAATATCCTTTCACTTATGTGTATTTTCTTCAATGTCTTATAGTTTTCCAAGTACAGGTCTTTTATTTCCTTGGTTAAATTTATTCCTGGATATATTTTTTTATTAAACTGTAAATGGGAATGTTTTGTTAATTTCTCTTTTTGATAGTTTGTTATTGGTGTAAAAAATGCAACAATTTATGAATATTAATTTTGTGTCCTGCTACTTTACTGAATTCATTTATCAGTTCTAATAGTTTTTTGTTTTGTTTTTTGGTGAAGTGTTTAGGGTTCTCCCAATATAGTATTATGTCATCTGCAAATAATGACAGTTTTACTTCTTTCTTTCCAATTTGGATGCCTTTATTTCTTTTTCTTGTCTGATTGCTGTGGCTAGGACTTCTAATACTATGTTGAATAAAAGTGGTGAAAGTGGACACCCTGTCTTGTTCCTCATCTTAAGGAAAATGCTTTTAGCTTTTTCACTTTGATTATCTATAGATTTGTCACATATGACCTTTATTATATTGAGGTATGTTAGTTTTTATTGAGGTATGAGAGTTTTTGTCATAAGTGAGTGCTGGATTTTGTCAAATGCTTTTTCTTCATCTATTGATATAATCATATTCTTTTTATCTTTCATTTTGTTTACGTGGTGTATCATGTTAATTGATTTGCAGATATTGAACCAACCTTGCCTCCAGGAATAAATCCCAGTTGATCATGGTGTATGATTTTTTAAATTATTATTATTAATATATTTTTGTCATAGACGTTTCTCCTTTTCCCTGCAGATACCCTCCTCCCTATCTGCCCCCCACCAAGCATTGTTGTCTCTGTTCATTGATTATATATACATGCATATGAGTTCTTTGGTTTATCTCATCCCTCCCCCCATCGGCCCTCTCCTTTGAGGTTTGTCACTCTGAACCATACTCTTTTCTATGTCTCTGGGTCTGTCTCTTTCATCAGCTTTTTTTGTCCATTATATTCCACAAATAAGTGAGATCATGTGGTATTTGTCTTTCTCTGATTGGCTTATTTTGCTTAGCGTAATGCTCTCCAGTTCCCTCCATGTCATCTGAAAGGATAAGAGATTTTTCTTTCTTACAGCTCATAGTATTCCATTGTGTATATGTACCACAGCTTTTTTTTATCCTCACCCGAGGACATTTTTCTATTTTTTGTTCAGATAGAATGGGAGGGAGGGAGGGTGGAAGGGAAAGAGAGAGAGAGAGAGAAAGAGAGAGAGAGAGAGAGAATGAGAGAGACATCGACGTGAAAGGGACACATCAAATGGTTGCCACCATGCCCAAACCCGGGTCTCTCTGGAACGCAGGCCAATGCTCCAACCACTGAGCCAAACTGACCAGGGCTGTACCACAGCTTTTTTATCCACTCATCTACTGATGGACAATTAGGCTGTTTTCAGATCTTAGCAATTATAAATAGTTCTGCTATGAACATAGGGGTACATATATTTTTTCTGATTAGTGTTTCAGGTTTCTTAGGATATATTCCTAGAACTGGGATCACTGGGTCAAATGGCAGATCAATTTTTAATTTTTTGAGGAAACAACATATTGTTTTCCATAGTGGCTGCACCAGTTTGCCTAGAGTCCCCTTTTCTCCACACCCTCACCAGCACTTGTTGTTTAATGATTTATTGATGGCAGCCATTCTGGCAGGTGTGAGGTGATGACTCATTGTTGTTTTAATTTGCATCTCTCTGATGATTAGTAATGTTGAACATTTTTCCATATGTCTCTTGGCCATTTGTATGTCCTTTTGGAGAGGTGTCTACTTAGGTTCTTTCCCCATTTTTTAATTGGGTTTTTGTCTTCCTTTTGTCGAGTTGTATGAGACTCTATATATTTTGGAAATTAACCCCTTATCTGATGTATTGTTGGTGATTATGGTCTCCC